AGGGAATTCGAACTTCGCGCGGAGGTCTCTCTGAGTCAGCGTCGTCTGCTATTAAAGGATAGCGAAAGAAAATTGAGGGCGCGCTACTTCCTTAAGCCGTAACGCATTAGTAGAAACTGCCGTGTCGTACGATCGGCGATGTGCATCAACACGGGAACGATGCCTGTTGGAAAGTAGACGAAAGCAAACTGGACGAAGTAGTAAATGGAGCCCGCAGTATGGCCGAGCTCGACGATTGGGCAACGATGCTGATCCGATTCCCATTTTAACGCGTCCGAAACGGCTTGCCTGCAACCGTGTCCCCCGATGCACACGCCTCCACCGGATCCCTGTAGGCTACACCGCACGGCCCGATCAGGAACTTCAAGTTGGAGAGAAAAGACACGTTCGCCGCTATGCACAGGGTCAGTCTGCATGCCGATATCAGCTTGGTGGTTGAACGGCCGTGCACGAATATGGTGTACAGGCAGATGGGCACGAATATCCCTTTCCAATCGACGACCGGGTGGACGTTCGCCTGCAGCAGCACGTCTACCGCCAACGATACGGTGAAGCATGTCGTGATCAACGAGCACAGGGTACGCTCCTTCATTCTTGGTATTCGGGGCGCGCGCTACCCCTCCCTCGATCGGACGTAACGTTCATACTGGGAGGTAAGGGAGCCCATATCGGGAATCTAACCTCGTTGTCTGCAAGATTCTCTCGAACGACCGGGCAGCGAGCGAACGGGTACACGGACGAGATGCACTTTTCGAATCGGCTTGCGCTCTTCCAGCCCAGATTGCCGTAAAAACTTCAGTACGCCGCCGGTTTGAGAACGTTGCCGGGACGCAGCGTCAGGTCGCAATCGTTTCTGTCTCTCACGACCGGTTCGCCGCGAAGGCAGGGCCCGGATTCGCCTGGTTTCAGCGGCATGTGTTTCTTTCGAAATGCGTGATTGAAATCTTTCGTTTCTATCACGGCTTTCGAAAACTCCAGGGAAGAAACAGGTGGCGGTAACGGAAGGATGAGCACGCCCTGCCTGGAAGCGGTCGTCCACGGTGGTTTTTCGTCGTGATGAACCAGCGCTCTGTAAAATGACTCGGGATCAGCGTATTCGTCGTCGTGATGTCCCATCAGCACCTCGTAGAACGAGTCGCTGGCGTTCCGAACGTCGAACGTGGTTTCTCGACCGCCGAAGCGCACCGGGATGTTGGCGTACGGATCAACGTCTCCTTTGCCGGCGTAACCGAAACGCACGTGTTCGGCGTCCGTGCACGACAGGCGCTCGTACGCGCTCGCCGGTAGCCTGTGATTGCTGAGAAGTATGTAGCGGCCGTCGTTCGTATAACACACGATCACGCGAGCGTTCAGTAGCACCCATTCGTATTTGGTGGCGTGGCAACCTAGTTTTCGTCTCGCTTCTTCCGTCATGCCGTCCTCCGTCAATCCGATCACTTCGTCCTCTCGTCTTTTCAGCACGGGTAGACGACCTTCGCCAACTACCTCCACTGTCCATCCATCCGAACCTACTCTCTCCAATCTGTTTCGCAGTGTTTCGTCATCGTTTAATCTAAACCAAGAAGTCTCAAACCTTATCGTCCTCATCTTGCTTATCGATGACTTCATCGTTCTTGACATCGACGTTAATGTCGCGTTTCGGTTCTTTCGACATGCTTTCTTCTTTTTTCTTTTTTTTTCTTCTTCTTCTTCTATCCAGTAAGTGTGTGTGTGTGTAAGTAAGTAAGTTCGTGTATAATATATGATATGAATTCGTAAACGTCCTCGAATCTTTCCTCCTTTTTTTTCGATGACGTTTTTGCGATGGTATACCTGAGATTGTACACGTCATCGATTCATGGTACGATGACGTACGAGTGCGCGTGAATATATATATATATATATAAAGCGTGTGTTCTATTCTCGTTGTTTTCAGTCAGTCAGAAAGACAAACACAAGACACTCAGATACTCAGCCAACCATGAATCCAGTGCTAGATTACCGTTTTGCTTATAAATTTAAATCCGAGAAGGATTGGTATGTTGTTGAGGGCGTTTCGACATACGGCAAAGGTAAAAGCATCATAATGAAAACAAGAGGCATCGATCCTTGTTACAGTATGTTGGAGATGCATTTTGCAGATGGCGACTGCAGACTGATCCACAACGACGATCCGATAGATGTGTATAAGAGACAGGTCCTATCCTTTACCATTGGCCCCAAAAAGTGTCGTCTTCATATCTCAAATCAATTTGT